CAAATAACTCTGATTTCTCTATTCATTGATGAATTAATTTCACCCCATCGGCGGCGCTTTCCAACTGACAAACAAGCTAGTCGCTTACTTCGAAAACGAAAAAACGAGAATGTATCAGACGTTTTATTTAAGGGGGGGGGGGAAAGGTTTGCTGTAGCAAGTTACTGCTATTGAGATGAGTACACAGTACTCATTTAATTTTTATGGATAAGCCATCCGGCTGGGTAATTTTTTGAAAACTCTGTCTCAGACTGCGTGAAATATGGCTGATTTCTTGAAACTAACATGAAAGAACATTTTCGGAATATTTTGTAAATTATTTTGGATTGTGTTAAGGAATTTCTACAAAAGCAATTAGGTAGAATGTATCCTCATTACGCGACTCAGATGAGTGATTTAGATCACTGACTGTTTCTACACGAAGTGGCACAGTTTGTACTCGGGACTGGCCATTTTTCATTTATTATTTGGGCACTATTAGTAATGTTAGTATTGTCACAAAATGTAAGAAAGTGGAGCCAAACTGACAAATTTTTGGGTACCAAAAGGGAAAACTTTTGTACCTCAAATCAATACTGAGCTTGACGTTTTATGAGCAAATTTACATTCGAGTTATATTAAGTAAGTATTTTCCGATGTCTACTAGTTTGTCGGTCTTCTCCCAAAAAACTAAGACAACGCTTAGAAGGGCTAGCAACCGGCCTAGTAGGATTGTGTATTTTGTTTTCTCTCACAACTATTGTTGTGGCTCTACCGATTTTGATTTATTTTGATAGTTATCAGCGTGTTTTGTATTCGCCTTTAGTAGCCAGAACCACACTTTAGGTAATGTTCCCACTTAACCGATTATTTACACCTTGCATCTGCTGAACCAGATTTGATCCATTCACCAAAGCAAAGATCTTATCGTGCCTGAAGTTTGAAAACAAACGCAGTTTTTTGTTTAAAACAAAGAAAATTAATAGAATAAAGTGGTTTGGCGGTTAAGCTGTGCCGGTTTTGCGTTGACTCACCAACATAAAATATCTTGTTTCAATGGACTGAAAGTGGGTCTTCTTACTCTCGAGCGTCTTTTTGTCTGTCAGACTCACTCCTGTGAGTATAACATTTCTATAAACCAACCAAGCATGTTTTTAATAGGAAATGTGGCCACTTGTCGGCACCAAAAGTGTTGAATAAAATTCGGAATGCACTCTCAAATGCTTTTGTCTGACGGAATCTGTAGCCAACATGGGAAATCTCGTCAGTTAAGATTATTCTCATTTGAGGTAACTGTTACCTCATTAGAGGAACTCAAATCGAACTTGTCCATCTGATTGACTTGTTTCCTACTGAAAATGAATACTTGAAAGCATACCTGTAGAGTGTCACCTTTGACGGAAAGTTTTGTGCAAACATCATGCTTAAATATAGAGGCCGCTAACTCAAAATGTATTCTAAATTTACTTCATGTTGTGTACGTAATGTTCGTTCAGAATGAGATCCAATGATTGATACGTAGAAACACAGCTTTACGAATTACAAAGACGTTGCTCATGTCTACACGTACTTCACTATTTTTTGGCTTCTTCAAAGCTACTTTAAATACTCTGCTGTTGTACTGTCAGCTAGTCTTCAGCTAGAAAACTGGGAACAACTTCAGCTTACGTCCACTAAAAATACTTGGGCTTGGATTTAGTGGATACTCCCGGATTTTCACTACATCATCAACAGGCTAAGGATTTCTATAAATCTGGCTATTTTTCGAAAAGAGTAAAAGTAATTTAATTCACTTTTCAGGAGTTCTGAACGTATATTCTCTCATCGATTAGCAAACGAGATGAAGAGGAAATGAAATACCATTATCGAGGGAACAGCTTGCTACAAAATTGAGACAGTCCTTGAGAAATAAGTGGGCAAGAAACAAGTTCCGCCCTCACCTAGAAGTGAGCAAACAGACTCGTAAATATGAGATCATCTAACCGAATTGGAACATCCGACTGAAGGTCAAGTTACTGAGGACCAAAACAGAGTGGAAATGGGCGGAGGGCAATGGAGTTAACAATATATTAACTCGGTTCAACACTAAATTCCAAAAGGTAGATTGTGAAATGGAAACTGTGGATTCAAAATGCAGCAGTAGGACAACGTACGTAATAGCCGCGTGGGATAAATCGATATCTTCATTATACTTGCTGATGTGAGGCGACTCATTATTACGAGACAGACTGGGCTCACTTGATGACCAAAGTCATACACATTTTAAATAAGACGGATCAATGAAACAAAAAAAATCTGATAGCGGCGGTAGTCATATTGAAGAAAACCGACACTGTTTATTGAGCAAGTTGAGGACAAGCTGAAGAGAAAGAAAAGTTTACCCCAGGATTTATACTGAATAGGTCTTCAAAAGGAGACCAAATATCTGTATATTAGCTGATCGCCTTTGGAGTAATGTTTGTTGAGCGATCTTCTAAAATCCTCAAGAGTTCGTAGAGTTTCCCAAAAAAATCATTTCTGATACCCTGGCGGGCCACTGCCTGACAAAACTATGGGACCAGACTGTCTTTCACGAAAGCAGTTTTCCCAAAGTGACTTTCGGTTCCAAACTTAAACCCAGCTGGAATAGTGTGTACTTGAACCTATTGTGAAGACCCCAGCTTCCAGAGCCACAAGAAAGACAAGCTGGTTGGTGGCGACAAAATTGTGGGACCATCGTGTCGTGTCAAGCAGTTCGCATTCATTGTAGTTTCAGCTCAATCATCACGTCAAGCGTAGGAACTCCGAGGTTCACAATACTATCGGCAAACCATTCACTTGTTCTCACGGACTTCAGTGTTGCGAAAACAGTCAGGACTGTGGCGTTTGTGTGCTTGATATTGCATTTCAAGAAACCAGTCCGAAGGCCATGCAATGCAACTCTATAGAGCAAATACAACCGCCATGAGGAGGCGAAAAGGACCTTCCATGTTTTATTCGAAACAATATGAATAGCCAGTGATTCGTCTTGCTTTAATTTCAAATACAACGACATCCTGGTTTTGGAAATACTTGGTGTCTGGGTGGGTGATATACTGGTGTACGGCATACTAAGTCGTGCAACCCCTGAAGTCGAAAAAGCGCGTTGGGCCCACAAGACCTCAGATAACACCAACGTTTAGGAGGAAACTCACGCAACCGTGAACCATAACCGGAATAACATCATCTTTAGTGACGAAATACCTTAAATCTGGACCAGATGCACTGAATTCTCCACCTCCCCTGATAGGGAGACAATGCAGGTGAGAAATAAAGAATAGTTCATGCTAGCTTTGTGTGCCACCTTAGCTGCCGAATAAGTCACTCAGCAAAATTAGACAGGATAAGCCGTTTTTTGGGGGGCTGGTATTTAGAGCGTGGTATGAAATGAAATTTTTTTACAAGACAAAGTTTGTCAAATGATACCTCTTCCACAAATTCAGCTGACCAATGATGACTGTCTGCCATTGATTCTCGTGCACCGCAAGCGAGATTTGAGTAACAGCAGGTGCGTTTGTCCATCAAACCATTTTTTAGTAAAGAGTACCAGTACCAGTACACGAATAAATCAGCTTAGCGGGTTTATAGCTATCTCCATACTGAGCTCAGTTTCCTGTGTCTATCCTGCGATTGATAGGGCCCACTGTGTCTGGACAGGGAGACATCAAATTGAGGAAACGTCCTTCATTTGGGGAGACAGAAACCACCCAGATTGCAAGGAGCACTGGTAGAAAACAGTAATTTTGAGAATGACAGACTGGGTAGTGAAAAGTATGCTAATTACTGTCTCATTAGTCAAACGGTTAGAAGAGATGTTGTTTCTCCACGCATACACGGCCAATAAAAACAGTGTGCAGTAAAAGTTGTCCTTCCAAGACGATTCTGATTCCAAATACCAGAAAAGTAGCACTCTGTAATTAAGTGAAAGTATGCGTAAGCGAAACATGGGGTTTACTTCGAATAGTTTCGCGAATAGAATATGTCGACGATATCACAAGCCACAATTCACACAAAGGTATCCACTTTGAAAGAGTTTACAAGTTATCCGCTGTATATAATTATATGATATGCACGAAGACTTATTTTTCAGGACCGTTGTACGTAGCTCGAATACACTTATCCCAGAGCAATCACATGAGGGTGAAACTGCTTTTTCCTAGCTTAGCAGTATATAAACACTTTGCCCGCTGGACGTCCCGTGTATAAGTGGTTATGAAAGTTAAGAGAAAGTTTGTGTATAAATCACACCAATAATACTAGATTACGAGTTGTCAGCTTGACATCGCTCCATAAAACTAAATGGCCAAAATGAATGTGGTCAAGCTCTTATATTACTACTTTGATTCGCTAGCATCCTCAGACGCAAAGCTTTTCTTGTCACGAAACTGTCAACTGCTTGCGGGATTCCAACTGGTTCTTTGATTTTCGATAAGATCCTAAGCGGTTTGTTGAAAATGTTTCATACAGAACTTCAATTTATGACGCAAGAAAGTTGGTCAAGTCGTACAGAGGTGGGAAATGCCGGTACCATACGTTCAGTTATTTTAATAATACGCAAACTATTATTATCTTCGAAGTTGAAATCCTATCTCAAGCCATCAGGTTATGTATTCTGGCCATTTTTAGTTACTCTGTGCTTGAACATAATTGCTGAATTAATCTCGTCATTCGTTAACTCACTTTCATTCCGGTTCTCCTAGAAGTGACGGTTGCAACCGCTGCCTGATTTATTATTTTTTGGTTATTAGCCCGAATCTAGGTGTGTTTGGAATTCGGACTCCCTTGTATTAAGTCTGACATTTAAACGTCTTACAACGATCGAGATAAATGGTCTTTTTACACCATTAGAGGGAGACAGCTGTTGCGGCGTCGACCAAACAACTAAGTATTGATTTTGTCCGCAAGTTGTTTGCTTTGCTCATTCCCGATGCGGCGATATGTTGTCATGTCGTTCAGTAGGTCTTTCATTTTATTGATGTAGTCCGGCTTGTCCGTGATGACTGTCAGGCGTTCCTTGTCAGCCGGCAGAATGGTGATGTCTCTTCGATCTTTAGCTTGTTCATTGCTTCCTTTTCTTCATTGGATACGGCAATGAATGCTGTGTTGCGTGTGACGGCTGGGACTACGGTTTCGCGAAGATGTTGAATGTACTTCATAGCAGCCTCCAGAGTAGCTAGGTATTCTAGGTTCGTGGCGTCCTATGTGTAGAACTCTAGTTCCTGATTAGAACATTCTGTCGTGCTTCGGTGGGCTGTCTGTTGGAGAGGTTCTCTATACAAGAATCGTGGTTGATTTACTTTTCTCGGTTGCGAACAAGCTTAGTCGATTTGTTTTCAAGATAGCCTCCCTTGTTTTTGGCGGTGGACCTGGCTCTTCGTTCTACCGCAATACCCAGTTGTTTCGGGTTCCAATGTCCTCCGGCAGGCTGCCTTATGTTCACTGAGTATTTTCTCTTATTTGTGATGGGGTTATGTGCATCTGCAAGCACCAGCTTGACCAGGCGCCTAAATCGACAAGTTGACCATCCGCCTGCAACCAAATTGGCGAAAACAAGAAGGAAAAACCACATCAAGCGCAGAATTACAAGAAGTTAATCAGACTGAAGCAAGGAAGCTACCTAAAATAGAAGTCGCCATCAAAACCAAATAAATTCAAGGAAGAAAGACCACAACGCAACACCGACCGACAAAGTGTTAATCGAAAACCGCGTGAAACACGCCAAAACAACCATTCAACTAAGAAATGGCACACGAGATACACAGGCCACAACGTGGCGCAAATCACGATGGGCCAATAATACTACAGGAAAAGTGTATACCAATTAACCAATCACATAACAGGATATTAGAAAATCCTCAGAAACTATATAAACGCAGTCAGACACGGAGGAAGCACCCACTCAACTGCCCACTGACAATGTTTCCTCGACTGGGGACGAAACGTTCGCAATCCAGTAGCCAGGCTCGGTGAATAAATCAATGGCCATTTTATCGATCATCAGGTTTCGCCTGTGATATCTGCAGATACTTTGGTGTACACATTTTGCATTCAGTGTGTTGGACTTGGCATATTTGATAACTTCTATTAAAACTTGCGGCGCCTGTCTTCCCCAACCAGCCATTTTATACGTCCAGACCGTTTCATTCAAAAGCCAACCGTACCATTGGTCAGCCTCTCGGTCGAAAGGTTTGATTTTCAATTACTAACCGGAAAGTTGTGGGATCGAAAGTTCTGGAAACTCTCAAGATATAAAGTGTTGATATTCCAAGCAAGGAGGGTTCTCTGGCCTAAGTTAGCCATACTGACAAAATCTTGATCAAAATTTTCAGATTTCATGATAAAACAAAAAAAATGTCCGGTTCCACGTCCCCCTATCGCTCTCCATTGTCTACACTTAATTCCACCTTTAATACACGAAATACACTTTTCATATTTTTAACACAATTCACAGAATGATTTCGGGATCCACTGTACGTCGTCTACTTCAGAGGTGCATCTCGCTTTCAGTTGTTAAATTTTGTGAGCGATTTCAGTAGTGATTTCTTTCTTTGACAGCCTCATGGCTGCATAAACCGGCTCTCAAGAAGGAAAATCTTGACTTGTCTCTGAGCCCCTAATTCTGTACACAAACAGTAGGTCATCCCACAGCTTATAGTTACTTCACAAATACTGAGACTGTTCAGAAGGGAGTATACAGGGAACTTCCATTAAAGTTTGCTTATTGCCAAAAATTTATTTGTCTACCACTATAACTGCTGCTCCACACGGCCTGAAGAGAATTCATTACTGTCTTGTTGTGGTTATTGGATGAAGTTAACGTGCATCCACTCTTCCGTAAGTTTTCCTATAAAACGAAAGAACGGAACACTAGTCACTGGACTAAAGTAGCATGTCCTAACCGGTTTACTCAGTCGAAATTTTTAGTTTTTGATAGCATAAACCTTACCATAGGACTGGGGAATAAGTTGATAAAAAAGGTCTTTGTGCAAGCCATTCTGGTTCTTTCGAGAGATTCACTTGGAACCCAGCTGAATCTCTCGTTTATGATGTTCTCAGCTGGGTTCCAAGTGAATCTCTCGAAAGAACCAGAATGGTTTGCAAATGAGTGAATATTCGCAAATTTCGTGCAATTTGGTTTCAAGTAGAACATAAGGTTGACAGAAACCCGGGGACTGCGCCTACCTGACGAGCCCCAAGAAGGGCGAAACCGGTCGTGGACTGTCGATGGGTTTTCAGCAACCTTATGAGTAGTACATTACAAAGGTCTTTGTATTTTTGAACTTCATACATTGAGATGGTTAGGGGTTGGACACGAATACTCATTTCCACCAATCCTCGTCCCGCATTTTGTTATGCACTTTGCGCTCATAAATTTTAGGGTCATGCTCCGAGAGATGCGGTCACTGAACGGACCTTTCACAATTCAAGGAGATGTACTGGAACTTGCGGAAGCGTCTTACTTACGTTGAAAGTTGTGTTGGCTTTAACTGCAGTGTTATTGATGAGGCCAATTTGCGAATCGCTAGGGCTCAGGCCACGTTCACTAATTTCGGTTATCTAGGGAGGCAAAGTAGCACATTTAAGACAAAGGAGAGGTAAGTCAAACTAGTGTACGGGCTGCTATGCTATATGGCCGAGAAAGTTGGCCTCTTCAGGAAGCGGAACTAGGACGGCTTCAGGTCTTCGACAACAGTGAAAAGGAAGAAGGTCATTGTGGCGGAGTATTTCATTGAAAAACACCAACTGAACAGTTACAGACTAGTGGACAGAGAATAAACCTCTCAAATGTATCTTGTTTGTGAAAACTAAGTATGCATCTTCTTCTCGAAAGCGGCTTCCTGAACTTCCTGAAGACTCGTTGACTATCGCTCAAATCTAAATGAATGCTACAAGGCAATGCCGCAAACTCCGTGATACACCTCATTTTTCGTTAGACGCGAAGATTTATGAGAGAACCACATACTACTCACATGCCTTATCAGTAGTATCCACCCTTACACCACACGTGGGTACTGGTGATAAAAAAACGAATGTTTATCCATTCCATTTGAGCTTTAGTGTGTTCAGTAAGAAATGTATCAATATTGAATCCTGTAGTGCACTGCGCCATTCTTCGGTTTGTATACGATAAATAAAACTGTGCCTGGATTATAAGTTTGTCAGCACGCCGGTTTTGCTAAACTCCATCAATTAGGCAAGTATTGAAAACGGAATCTTAGATAATATAGCTAGCCAGTTGATTTTGGCAACTTTCTTTTTACTATAGTGAGCGTCGAATTTCGACATTCAAGTGAAAAGTGGGTTTGTCTTCACCTGATGCACAACCGGGTTCGCCGATTTGTATGAAACACGGCCAAAAGTACTGTTATAAATAATTCTGTACTACAGACGATGCATTATATGGTGAGATAAACATTATCATAGTTATCGTTTAGAAGGTTGACCTCGTATCTCAGCTATAGTACACGTAGTTTTCACAAATCAGGAAATACTTGAATTTATGTGCATAATGACGGTGTTTTCACGTGATAAAACTAACAACCTTCGTAAAAATTCGGCCTCTCTGGCTGTGATTTGGTTTCACTTGGTTATTAGACAAGAACAGAAACATCGAGAAACATCATATGAGGTTTGTTACAGCAGATCAATCATTTTCGGGCATGCGGGAAAACACCCAAGTAATCTGAGTGTATTGCACCTCACTTTAGCTGGAGGTGGTCCCGGAATTTATATAATACAATTTCACATCACCATCATCTGAGCGGTCCTCATCTTGTCGTAACACATCCCGCCACGGGGACAAGGGTGATCGCGTTCACGATTTAGCAATGAAGTTGGTTTGCTCGTCGTTCAGAACCGATAATTCACTTGCATCTAGCGGGAGATTATAGAGTAGAGGAAACACGCTCGTTTCGCAAAACAAATGTGTGGATTTCAAACCGTGGTGATACATATGCAATGCTAGTCAGCCCTAATAAGAAACAAACCTGCATCTTATCGTGCTATTTCTTGAGATGCTTTGAAACTTTGTGTTTACCATCAAGGTTTGCTTGAACTTTACTGCCATCTTTAAACTAAAGTGCGGGAACCCAGAATAGCAGTAATGAAGAATAATGAACATCGTGAGGTGTACGTATGAGCTGAGGTTAACACTGAACCAAGTTCTGTGCAATCAGAAAAATAGTTCAGTGGGATCGACGAGCCCCTGTGTTGATCGTATTCTTGCAGATATGTCTGAGTCATTAGCTTTGTATCGTACTCATCTTTGGTTATATAAGCTCCACGATGACCGACAATAATTGCATATTGTCCATATTGAGTCAACGAGTACAAATTTGAGCTGTTAACTGTACAGAATTAAACAATTTGTTTATGAAAAATAACAACCGGTTAGACCATTTTTTATAATAAATTTCGAGTTTTGATCAGGGCGCTCACAATATGCGAAAGTTCTTGAGGTTCAGAATACTCTTTAACTCTTCAACTGGCATCACACCAAAGACTTCATTTTACCTTGGACTTATTCTCTAAAGGGATTTTCTATTGATAACGAAACGAACTTCGAAGTGATTCGATCAAATGATGTCAATTGCAATCCACATAATATGCGACTTGCCATTTCTGTTTTATTCGCTATCGTTTTCATTTAAGTATGCCTTGAAGGACCTCTTGGCATTACCCCCAATCGGGTAAGTATTATTTAAATAATTAAATTGAAAAAAATTCAGCCGTAAAATGAACTTTTGTTGTACCCAAGAAAACTCCCATGCAGTTTAGTGAGCGAGTTTATCCAAAACATAATTACTGTTATTTAATTCAAGTAATCCGGAATTCTCATAGAGTAGGCTATCAAACGGGTAGATCAGCCTGCTTACTTGCAACTTGAAAACCGACAGAATGAACGTTAGTGCGCGGCAGTTACAGGTGACAAGTTGAAGGTCTGGGTATCAACCAGTCAGAGAATGGGCCAACTGACGAACCAACACAATCAATCACCCCATGCCAAACTTAGGTCAACCCACGTCCAACGTGACTTGTATAAATAAGAATACATTACTCAACGCAATTTAATTGACACTGCTAAACGGGGACACACGCCAAAACAATGACGCGGCCTTAAGTAGTGACAAAAATCCTCACGGTGTATCGGTAAGCTCAGAGAACAGAACACCACCCATAAATTTCTGTGAGAGGAGACTAACAATAAACAATATGGGGCATTTATACAAATTCTATGGGTTCCGAGCAACATGCTGAATTCAGTGGTCCTCCGAATGCCATCTAAATGTTCAACTTGATTGGCTGCTAGAAATCAACAAATACGCTCTCGTAAAACTCTAGAATCGAGGCAGGTAGGTGCAACGAGGCAGAGTAATTTCATCAGAAAAATGCCACTAAGCGCGTGCAGCAGCCGTCAATAATCCATTGTTTGACTAATTTTCCAAGAAGTGGGACTGTACCTCATGATGGCTCACAAACCATCTTAATCCGGTTTCACTCATTTCAGTCCCATTTACTGCACCTTTGGAGATTCGACAAACTTGCTGAATATAAATATCCGTTACATCTAATCAAACTGGGGCAAATATAAGGTTTATTGAGAGTATATTTAAAGACTATTGGAATAAAACACCTGACAGATTCAAACATAATTCGAGGATCCAACATTGACACCTGAAACATCCCCCACGCAATTCCTTCGCGACAGCTATGATTTTGACTGGCTCATTGCCGGAATAGGTTAGCTATGATTTTGACTGGCTCATTGCCAGGAATAGGTTTCATTGGATGGGTTGCCCCTGTCATATCCTCTTTCATCAGTTGGCACTGCTTACAGGACACCAGATAATCCATCACCTCACTTCTCGTCCTGGGCCAGTAGGCCCTCTGCCGAAGTAAGTCATATGTCTTGATGCATCCTGTGTGTGCCATCTCATGGCATTGGACAATAAGCTTCCATCTCAAGACGCATGGTATCATGGGCAGCATAACATCAGAATCGGTGGCGTTCCAGGAAATTATGCTTGCTTCATTCAGCCTCAGCCGATCAGAGTGACTCTGGAACGTTTTTAATTCCCTACCTCCCTCTCAGTTTTCAATGCTCCTTTCATCCAACGAGACGGCTGCAACCTTCCGTAACACAGGATCCTGCCGTTGCAGTTGCACAAACCTTTCGGGCTCTGGTTCTACGATGAGACCATTGGTCCCAATCATGACTCTGGGGACCTCATTTACAGGCTCTGGTATTGACAGCCAATCAGCCAAGTGGTTCTCCTTCCCGGGCACGTGCTGGATTGTAAAGTCGTGCTCTTGCAACCTGAGTGAACAGCGCGAGCTTTCCGCGAGCATATCTGGTGGTCCTGATCAACTTCAGGGGTTTGTGATGGGTTTCAATATGGAATCTTTGTCCAAACAGATATGGCATCCACTTATCCAAGGCCCAGACGGTCGCTAAACATACTTTTTCAGTGGTCGAGTACTTCTGTTCAGCGTTAGATAGGACACGAATGGCATATTTGATAACTTCATTCCTCTGCTTTAGGACTGCGCCAATACCGCGATCACAAGCGTCCGTTGCAACAGTGAACATCTCTCCAACCCTGAGCAGTTTGAGGGTCAGTTACTGATCCAGCATGCGCGCTTTTACACGCTCGAAAGCCCTATGTACTCCCCTGGTCCATTTGAGTTCCTTATTTTGCCCGAGCAAGTTGTACAGTAGAGCAGCAACCGTGTTGAATTTCTTGACAAACCTGCTGTAGTATGCTGCTGGTCCAAAAAAACTGCCGTAGAGTCCGCTTTGAATTGGCAACAGCACAGTCCTCGATCTTTGCTAATTTTTCTGGCAGTTGGCTAAACAATCCGTGACCCATTTTATGCCCCAGCAGTGTCACCGAACTCCGAGGGAGCTGTGTCTTGACTTCATTTATCCACAGGTCAACCCCCGGATCCGCTTCAATACAGTCTCCAAGTGAATTGCATGCTTTGGTTCCGAATTGCTGTACACAACGATCCAGTTCGACGACGAGGCTATTGACCGCAAACCTGATCCTGGGAGCCTCATCTTCAGCCTCTGGTCTTGACAGCCAATCAGCCAAGTGGTTTTGATTCCTCGGCACGTCCTGGTGCACTTTGTTATGCTACAGTAGAACAGTGTTGCGCAATCTGAGTCAAAACTCCTGAAAGTTGCAAAGTTCATCCCGGCAGCTTTGTAAAACTGATATGTAACGGTGAGCTCGTGGCATTCAAGAAAGTATCATCTAAAGTTCAGTGCGTATTCTAAATGATTGAATCAGCCTGAACCTACATCTACATGTACTTCAAATCTACTTAGTAATGAAATCCGAGTTAACGTTTGTTCAAAGCGTTATCTAGTGATTTTTCGAAGTTGTGTGCATGAGACACTACCTGGGTTTAACTTGTTTGCATGCAAAAGTTGTAGACTTGAGAATATAACCAGAATGATTTTGCCACCCAGCAAAACCGTCTTCTTAAAATCTACTCCACATGTATTCTCGAACAGACAATTGGTCAGGAATGTGAAGACAATAATTATCCCCAATTTGATGGAAGTTGTTGATAGCTCTGCAAGCTGTCACATAGGCAAAATGTCAGGGGCATTTCAATCCACTCCCTCTAGCAAAATTCTATTTCAAAGAAGAAGTAATCTCCATTGACCATTTTCTTAGACCAAATCTACTGATAAACGTGAGTTTAATGAGCTACATCGAGGGTTCACGTAAACGTTGAGGAGTGAAATATGTATGACAAGAAAATAATTTGAAACAGTTTCATTTTATGGAATACCAGTCGATACTTTTTTAGTGATAAACTCAACGTGATAGACTGACCATATTCATGCAAGCACATATATTCTTTCTAGCGTGACGTCGTTCATGACGTCAAATGCACACACTACCAGGCGCAATAAAAAGACAGTATGACCTCAGGTGTCCCATTTGTTGACGGACGTCAACCCGCTACTTCCGAACGTCAAAACTAGCTTCTCAAAGGATATTCCATCAAGACAGAAACTGAGGTGTCGCAAGTATGTATTATCATTACAAGAAAGTGAAAGTGATGATAGAACGACCGTAGTGAAAATGATAAAACGCTAAATGGCTCAAGAGTCTTCCAAAAATGACCATGCACGTAAATGTTAAATTTTTGAAAAGGAAGTCTTATGTTTCGGAGCATAGCTTGAAATCGGAATCAGCGTAATAATAATTAGCAAATACATCTAGTAGGAATTAATTTCATTCTGATTGTTTGCCGGTCCATACTCTGCCTCTATCACCAAAAAACGGGATATCAGAATCCAATAACTGATATCCCAACATAGAAAGGCGAACTAAACTCTAAAAAGAGTTTCCATGATTACTTATTTTAAGATGCCTTTATACATTACTCAGGTTTTTTATCTGACAATTCGTTATTGAATTGTTGTCGATGAAGTCATCACCTGATTATCAGATATCCAGAAGGATTTCAAAGCACAAACGTGGATTCTCCTAGCAGTCACAGTAATTATGAATTATTCTCTGTTACTGGATGATTGTATTGTATTTTATCCACTACACACTCGTGTTTTACGAGATAAAATTTGGTGTTAGCCCATCGTTGACAGACAATGTCGTAGGACATATGTGCCTTTCAAAAATGAGCAGGCTAGCTATTATTTTTGGCCTAGTTTTGCTGAATTCTGTCAAAAAGGTCACGAATGACATACGTATATTCATTTGACAATTAGTTCGTCTAAATTACGTAAACCCACACTAACGGACAACATACATATGAATTTAGTGAATAAGTGGAGACGGTGGATGAAAGTAGACTCGTTATTTAGTCGCTTTTCACGCGTACAAGTGGATTTATGCACACAAGAGAGGTGTCCTTCTTTTAACAGTATACAAATTATCAGATGAATCAATGATTAATAAATCAATAAATCAATAAAAATAAATAATGAATAAATAAACAATAATAAAATAAATATTCACTTTTAGAAGATCAGCGTTATCTTGGCTATTGTCCTGTTCTCCGACGGTGTTTGTGTGTTCTTCTTTTAGAAGAACACTTATCTGAAGACCAATTAGGTTTTGACGAAAGATTCACCTAATAAAACTATGGACGGTAGATCTAGGTGGATTCTAGTTAGGTCTCCCATCAAAACCAAACTGGTATGTAGATAAGTGTACATGTCTAATTTCATGCAGTTTGGGTTCAGGTAGAACATAAGGTCAGTGGAACCTGAGGGACCGCGCCCATCTGGTGAGCCCCTAGAAGGGAAAAACCAGTCATGGGCTATCGAAAAGTCTCGAGCAGCTTTATGGGTAGAGATTTATGTCGTTGCATCGGGACTTTGACCAAATTAGAACATTATTCTCCCTATGTCCACCGACATTTCCCCTTTTCGATCCTACATTGAATCAATTGAAGATGAACTACTAAGCGCTTTGGTCTTAGGATTTTGTCTGAATTGCCCCGTTTGTTTGGTTGCTATGACATACTGACCGTTGTTAACATGACGTTGTCCAAAACTCAGCTACAAAATAAGTCCTCATTCCCATCTACCTCTGGAGCACACTAACACTATGCAGTATAAACTAAAAGATGATATTATGACTGAACGCAGCAACAAATTTTGAGAACGGAAGTGCTTTATCCTTTCATTCCACAGATCAACGGACAAACAGATGTTTGAAAAAGTACCAGATCGACATGCCTTGGCTTCACAAAACAGAACATCTGCTCGTGCGTCACAGTTGGGAAAGCATACATCAGCCCTGTGGGTCTTCATCAGTTAATTATGACTGAGTACACAAAGCCTAAGTATGATTTTAACGGTCATGGTACAATTGAAGGACCTGTGTTTACGATTTTGAATAATTCTCGTTGAAGACGGTCACCCCACAAGACATTTATTGAGGAAGACGCCCGGACAATCATGAATTAACATCTTAAGGACGGTTATTTAAAGGAAATAAATGCATCAACTTTGCCACGAACGGGAATCATCAGATCTATATGGCATGCTTACTAATATCATTATTTTACAGATGATAACGGACTATCAAAAATTTAATATAATACACCGTCAAATTATATTTTATGAAGTTATCTGAAATAAAGTTGTATAACCTTTTGCCGCGTTGCCGTACGTGCAGTGAAGGAATTGTGCCAGGATAAAGCGTTTGTAAATTTTAGTCACTTCAGTCTGCAATTTACAAAATAATTGAGTTTGAAAACACAATGCCACTGTGGCTAGAAATCATCCTAAATCTAGTTTCAATAGATTAGGCGACAGTTCTATTCCCTCTTTTCCTAAGGCACCATTTTGCATTTCTCAATTTTCAAAACCTGAATAAACAACCTCAGTTGAATCCACAATTTCTTTTCAGAGAAGTCTTATCCGGATAATCTCAATCAAAACAAGAGACTAGTGCAACCGCTCGAACTCAGTAACCAGTGAAATTACTCTATCCGGAAAGCTGTTTAAATTCGTCATGAAACTTGAGTTCGTTTGCAAAGAGTATCTATTGCTTCGTGAATAATGTTGCGGAAACAACTCTGAACACCTAAAAAATAGCCTGATCGAAAATATAATTTCGGGTTTATAAACATTTATCATGCCTATGATGAGACATTTTGTAATTTTTTATAATCGCCTTCCTACCCTAATTCCAAGGTATCTCAGGGGCAGTTTGAAGATAGCTCTGAATGTTCTACGTCACCTCTGGTGAGAAACAGCTAAATGGTTATTATACCTTAAGATTTCACACTACAATCTCTTTGGAATTTTATTCAGATCGCCGGTTTACAGATTTAGTTCATAAGTATCGTGAAGAATAACAAAATGCTTCATCAAGTTGCATTGCCGGAAGGTGTCACAAAGGTCTTCAATGTTGAATATTACGAGGAATCCAAAAACTTTGACTATCCGTGTGTTTTTATTAGCATTACTGATCAAAAAATAGAAAACCCGTCTCCTACGAGAAAAAAAGGAGTCCATTTTGGATTCCTCCTGTGAAATTCAGTGCTTTGGATACTCGGACTACAGTTGTAATTCTGTTTATTGGGGTGTACAATGAATGATATTGCGTTGGAAATAAATGCTGAATAGCATTTAAAACATAAGACTGTGCTACATGGTTGTGTGAATTTCAGCTCTTCCTATCGAGTATTATCCGCGATTTGTGGCTAAAAACGTTTCTCCGAGTTTGAACAGATAGTTTCTGTAGTAAACCTATGCGAGAGTTTTCAACTGATATATCCGTCTGATATATCCATCTGGCCAAATGCATCAGTTACCAAAGGGTTTCTGCCAACTGGATTAATTGGCGGCGGATTGAGGTGTCATTGCTTTTTTGTGGTTAAATATTAGATTCCACAAGTTTTGTTCATAAATATGATTGATAAATCTTAAGTCACGCTTCAGGATTCCTGACGATCGCTGGTTTGCACCGTCCTCTATTCCACAAGAAGGAGATTAGGTTAGATAGGTGTGATGCCCCAAACACCCGTAGATTGCTGTTGCGTTGTTGAAATATCTTAGTAATTTGAGTTTTGGTTTTTTGTCAAACACACGTTAAATTCAGGTGACTTATTTTATGCCTTATACGCACACTCCAAATAACTGTGATTTATGGTTGTGGATAAACACATTGACAGTCCAGTTGTCATGCTGGAGCCTGATTTGATCAGAAAGCAGAGATTAAGTTTGACAACAGACAAAACGGGAAATGCAAATGAAATTTTATATACACGGTTGGATCATGTGTAATACGATAGACCCTTTTCGAGCAATACCAGTATTTTGTGATCACCAAGCTAACGAATGAGTAAGACAAATTTTAAAAATTTGAAAGTTAGGGATGCAGCTCAAGAAAACAAAATAATGCTGAGGTGGGTGTATCAAAAAAGGGTGATTGCATTAAGGAATGTGTTTATAGTTAACTCAAGGTGATTGTTTCCAAAATGATCAATTCCGTTCCTTGGTAAAAAAAGGAATGGTTACATTTGGAAATTTTTTTTTCAAAAACGGTCGTTGTCTCACAGGTATATAGACGACTTCAGAAAACCCACATCAAAACAACTTTCTCTAATCACCTGAGAGTAAGGCAACGTCTGTTCCCACTTTAGATCGAAATTAACCGGTAGCCCAAATAAATATCAGCAGAAACTCTGTTCCATGATAGTATTTGACCGAAGGCTTATTAATTTTCTATTTCCGGTGATATTCAAGGCGTCGAAGCATTTTCATTGATCTCACACCACTTATGTTGGAAAAGGAAGATTCGGCTGATATATTCAGTTTAGTCTCTGATAAACATCAACTTGGATCTCACACAAACTAGTGCTCAATTAAAGAATCAACTTACCAGTAAGTAGGTGACTACACCTTCCTGATGAGACCCGTATGCCGGTTTTTGCTGAGTGGTCGGCCACCTTATTTCTATTCTTGAATCATGAGAGCACCACTCACCTTTCAATAGGACAAAGCCGCCAAGACTTCGAATGGCCAGTAAGATTTGACAAATACATTCTATTGCATATTGGCCTGATTTTCACGAGGGACTCACATGAATCTCAGCAGAAATCTCTCGTTTATGTAAGGCGTGTGTTGAACATGAGTACTCGTCACAGGCAGATATCAAAAGCTTTATTCCACTTAAATATTCTGGGTTATTTGAGCCGGTTAAGAAACGCAAATCTCGCGTTTTACTAGGTCCAGTTATAACAATCCTTTTTATGACTAAGGTATTCGATGGTGTTAATGAAAAACTCCACTCTTGTTCATATCCAAAAGAAACGCAGATCATATCATAGTTATAAAGACTGGCCATCTAGCGGGTGAGAATCTGCCCAATGCAAAAGTGTGGTAGAATGACCAGACGTTTGAGCCCTTCGGGTCACGCAATTGCAGCAGGTGAATTTAATTTTGAGGGAAACCTTTTTGCTATGACCTCCTGCAAAAATTCGTCTTACTGTGTGACCGCATGGTTTGCAGTTGATCGCTTTCCGGGGGGGGTCCTGTTGATCCACTGGAATGATTAACCTGATTGCGCACATGGCGGGTGGACAGATTTCCGGTGCAAAATAAGTATATTATATTTGCTTATCAAGGCAGCTGTTTTGTGAATAAATGACGAAACTCGATTACAAGCATGTTGGGTGTAACCTAAAAATTAGTAGAGATCATTCCTCTTTTAAAAATTTTATACCCCATCTGAACCAACTGATGAGCAGCATTTTTATTTTGGCGTCACAGCGCCTACCAGAAGTCATTCGCTTGATGATTGCTTGCTAAACACTGGCTTTTGAAAAGCATCAGTTAAGTGGAAAACCAATATGATTCATCCGAAGATACTCGAGAATAACTACTGGATTGAAACTGAAAAGTACCAGAAAATGATACCGCACATCACTGTAGCACGCTGATTCTTTGTACCCCAACACGCAAAATGACTTTCGTTATATCCCTTGACAGGTTCTTGGAAAGCGTGTCTCAGAATTCGATAAGGTATCCTCCAGTGGAAAAACGCATGAAAAAATATTAAAAAATCGTCATATTTGGACACTTGCCTGATATTGTCCCAAAAAACCAAACCTCAATTTTATCCCAAGGAACTAAATGCTTCTGATCTGGGACTACCCAATAGTCTTCAAAAATCCTTCAGACCTATGGGCGTACAGATATGAAATAGTGAAGCCTGTTTGCGTGTATGCATTTTGCATTTTTAAACAATACCTCAATGGTGAAATTCATTATTCACTCCCCGATTACTATTAAAGCACGCACGATCCGGCTGCGTTTTCAACTTATCAAGGAATGCTATGATGAACCAAAGAAAGCAACATGTGAATCTTCCATTTAAGCATCGTTTGGAAACTGGTGCGAAACAAATAAATCTTTTTTCATTTTGAAGAACGATAAAACAGGCCATTGACTTAAAGTTGATTGAAGAGTAACAGTTAATATGCCGGAAATACTTGACACAGAAACGCGGCCGAGAATGCCTTCCGAAAAATGAATTTAGAGATAATAAGGAAGATGAATACGGTCCGGATTTTGGCTCGCTGTGAAGCTAAATATAGTGCATTACTGAGAAAACATGTCCATTGCCGCAATACGGAAATGGTGTGGTCATAGACGGAGGTTCACTAATAGTGGACGATGTACTGCGTTTTTTTGAATTGGTTAAAGAATATAAGAGAAAGAGTTGTACGGCGGTTTTCGTCTTTTCAACGCGGAGTGACCTCAATGGCAGCATGAAAGTTCTGTCAAACCTTATGCTGCTCATAGAAAACGGACTCGCCTGGATACCACGGACAACTGGAGTTTACTACCGAGATTTCGGTTTGGGTCGGATGAAATTGAAACGGCAGAAGGGAGGAACATTATAACAAGGTAAGTAAGTATTGTTTCAACAGATCACTCAATCTACTTGACGAATTTTGGGAGAAAAAACAGAAACAACACCCGATAAATGAAATCAGTTTGCTGGCGTTGAGATAGTACCAAATGCCCAAAAAAAGGCGCTAGTTTCATTTAAAATATAGTGCAAATAACGGCATTTATATGTTTTTTGTTACGATAGCGAATCAAGCACTCGAACATGATGCTGGAGACGATACTTACACACATTCAGTAGTGCCCGTTTTGATTAGCTTCTGCTAACTGTGACACTGATCATTTTGTTAACCTAAGCCCACAAAGGGAAGACAACTGGACTCACAACACTTGGTTTAATGTACCGCATAAAAATCGCGTGGTGGTCTGTATAGGACTGATCATTTGCAGACACTAAGTTTGGGTGAGAACAGATGTAAATCACGGAAAAGTCTAGGGTAGGAATTATTGCCAATTTTTTGTTGGGTTCCTCGCTGGTTGGAATCAGGTTTGTTCAGTTCGTTTTGGACCCTTCATTGTGCCAAATTTTGTGATTTTACTGGGAACATGAGGGCAAATAATGGGTGTATATGGCCGCAAATGAGATGCCGTTGTTTGCGCTGTTAAATTATGCTACAGTTCAAATGTGTTACGTCAGCAAAAGGACGCGAATTTTGAATAGAAACTAGAAAAAACCCTGTATTCATAATTTTTGAAAAATATCTGTCCTAAGCACCACCGCATGTTACCGCGCATCTGTGGCACGTTTCTGCAGCAGCAGTAGGAAGTTGAATCCTTATTTTCGAGAGCAAAACAAACAGGTTGTTTCCAAAGAATGACTTAGAACTTTTACGCAGTCAAAATGAACTGGATATGCTGGTCAGCGTTGCAGATATAAGAACAGTGGGTCAGGTGACAATCCCTATTTGTTTTTGATGCAAACTGGCATGTATCAGTGGTGGAGAGTGAACACGCTTATTTGATTTGAAAATTGGGCTCACCCGTTGCATTTGGCCAAATCTGCAATCCTGCTAGACACGCAATTTGCCTTATCACGTTTGCCAATAGTCAACAAATAACGTGGCGAAAAACAGCCATGTACGTAAACTAGCAGCTGAGCCCTTGTTTTCATAGGAGCCTAATATCAAGTACGGTTGGTGAGAAAGAAAATCTGCGCCAGTACACACGGTGTTTTGTTTGTGAAACAACTTGGAGTCGCATCAACGTCCTTGCTGCTTGAACCTTTTTCAAAGAGCAGATGAGTGGCACGATCCTTACAATTAATTTGCTAATGACATGTTTGCGAATACAAACGACATCATGCAGAACTCTGAAAATAATATTGATATTGAGCCGGTTAGGCCATTTCGGACTGAACTTCAGTCTTGATGCTAAATGGCAAAATCAAAGTAATTTAACTAAAGGACTATTGATATATTCATAGTACGGTGCTATCAACACTTCCACCAGCGGATACAATGTCCAGCTGCCTTTCAACGTCTTTCAAATATTAACTAATGATCAAGAGTTCCCAGCGTTTATATCTTCATCATGTCATGTCCCCAATTCTACTAGTTTAATAGTATGAAAAACATAGAACCAAAATTTAAAAACATTTTCTTCAGCCTTTTAATTTATACTATAAACTGGTAACCAAAGTGTATTATTTTCCTATGTTGGATAAAAATCGAATGCATAGAAAAGAGGATTTTGCAACCTAGAAAACTGACAGGCAAGTTGAATGAACTATACTACTCCGAAGCAGCCCTAAAAACTCACTTTTCCTACTCACTTTATGGGAGCTACGTAAGACAAATAAACAGTTAGATACTCCAAAGACTAGCCCTGTTAAAATATCGGTGGATAGCCTTTTTCACTGAAAGTTACGCAAGAAATGTTCTTTCTTAGTGTTACTTGGAAGTAAGCAGAGAGACGTGTCATGAAGGTTAACATACTGAAGGTTAAAATTGTTAGACTGCTCATCGATTTTCAGGCTGTCTCACAAACCCAACCAGGTGAACAAACACATAAGCAGAGATGCTACCAGGCGTGCATCTTTGCACTGTATACCGGCTTTTGTGTTAAGAAGCACAAATATTTCGTAGGTCAAGAAGAGGTAAGCAAAAGAATTCGCCTGGATGGCGTCTTCATCACTACATTTAGTCTTTGAATGATGAGGCAAAATAGAGGGATTGGTACCCACAAATTTCAAAAAAAGTTTATCTCATTTATTTTGGGCCACTAAATTTATTTGTTAGCCTTGTTAGTGCGAATAATTTCGTCAGGACGTGCAACTGAATGAGCTGTTGGGTTACACCAAGCGCTCTGTGCATCTTTGCACTGTATACCGGCTTTTGTGTTAAGAAGCACAAATATTTCGTAGGTCAAGAAGAGGTAAGCAAAAGAATTCGCCTGGATGGCGTCTTCATCACTACATTTAGTCTTTGAATGATGAGGCAAAATAGAGGGATTGGTACCCACAAATTTCAAAAAAAGTTTATCTCATTTATTTTGGGCCACTAAATTTATTTGTTAGCCTTGTTAGTGCGAATAATTTCGTCAGGACGTGCAACTGAATGAGCTGTTGGGTGTTACACTCAAGCGCTCTCCGAAACCTTGACAAAGATCTAGCACACACAAATCTCATTGCACTTTGACCTTGAAAGCAAGTTTTGTCTTGGGAGTGACAAATGGTCACCGCTGTGGTCAACTCATTCCAGCGACCAGTTGTGTTAAGCTCACCTAATGAGTAACATTCACGGAAGAAATGAGTAATGCCATGCATGGTCGAATCGATTTGGTCAAGCAATCGCATGGTTTTAAAGCATGGTGGCAGTTTGCGAACAGTTCGTACAGAAGTTTCAAGGAAAGGGACATGAGGCCATAAAAACTTGATGACCGGCAAGTCAGAAAACCTGTATAAATCTGGGGCTTTTCATAATCCATTTATGCCTCAGTGTTAATTAGACGCTGTTTGCGACATGGGCTTATTGAGGAATCGGGCAGAAACAAACGGTGAAATACATAACTGCCTATGTTATTTGCTTCCCCTGAAGCAGAAGTGCACTACCTAACACTCAACTGAATACTGATGCTTGTTAAACCTCAGAAACTTTACCTTGGCTAGGATTTGTAACAACAAACATGCTAA